GGGACACATCCGGCTGCGGGGGCCCAAACTGGAGCCCGGGGGGCCAGCGGCCACCCACAGGGAGCGGGAGGTGGAGGGGAGGCTGTGGGGGATGTGGGGCAGGGGACGGGGCCGCGGTGAGATGATCGAGGAGGAGGAGGAGGAGCTGGCTCCCGCCCAGGGCCCCCTCCCGATCCCTGCCACAGCGCCACTGCCAAGGGCTGAGCCGGGCAGGCCTTCGCTTCCCTGGTTTCACTCTCCCCATGCTTAATATTAGAAAACACTTGGAGAAATCCCCTCTGTCTCCAGCATGAGGAGGCTCTGTGGCCACTGATTGCAGATTGGGACGGGACAAAGGCAACAAAAGAATAAACCAGCAGCAAATATTTCGGGGATAAATTCATGGTGCAGGGTCTTGCCAGTCTAAACAGCCAGCGCAGCTCAAGAACAGCAGAGGCAACACATCCCGGCTGTCAACACAGCGCTGGAAAATAATCCCGGGTAGGCTCCCAGCCTCTGGAGGCCTGGGTTTCGCTGCAGGTGCGACAGAGCTCCTGAACCCTTGCGAACCTTCACAGCTCGTTAAGAGACAGAAGAGGGCTTTGAGCTTAATTGGTCAAACCAGAAGCAGAAAGGGCGATGCCCGGAGCTCCCAAGTCCAGCCCTGGTCACCAATCATTAACATGGTGATGAGACGGGAAGGAAATCTTTGACGGGAATTGCCAGCCACAAGTGAACAGAAGCCATTATCTGCGCTCAGCTATCGTGGGAACAAAGTGCTTACATCTGGCAGAGATACCAGGTCCAAAGACCAGTTTAACTTGCTTTACAATGTGCTCATCGTGTCTCTAGGGCCTTTTATTAATGTCCTGCAACCTCAGTGCCCAGAGAAGAACGAAACCAACTGGTTTGCTCTGGCAAAAGTATTTTCCAGCCTCAGAACAAGCTTAGATGAACGCCTGCACGGGAAGGTGGAGAAGAGAAGCACTTACTTGGTATAAAATGCCACAAACTTCAGTTCATCTAAATCTCCCTGAATGACAACATCATCGAATCCTTCCCCGTGGCCTGGAAGGCAGAGAAGGAGGAGGGGGTTCAGCCACAGCTCCCCTGGATCCAGCCCCTAGGATCTTAATGCAGAGCTAC